TGTTGTCGGCTCGATTTCATCTTCACCCTATAATTTCACCATGATTTCTTGAGACTGTTCAAGCTGCCATATTGTAGATCTATGAACGATGCGTTATTTTCCTCGAAGTATTTCTCGATTTGATGTTGGTTTGAGAATTATTTGGTGAAATTTGACATGGGACTTGGGGTATTTTTTTTTTTTTTTTTTTTTTTGTTTTGTTTTGTTTTGTTTCGAGGGCAATGGTAGGACTGCCATTCATGGGAGGTTATTGTTATGGATAACATCGTCGGGTCGTGCATGCAAGCGAAGGCTTGTATGTGAGTGAAACCACTAGAGGAATCAATTTTGGCATGTGATCAATTCTTGATCGAGGGTTGAAGAAGACGGTTCAACTTGTAACACCCAAGAATTATAACCTTCATGATTTGTACTCTAGGTGATTGATGGATGTTGTTATCTTATCGTTGAGCTTGGATGTATTTATTTTTTAGAATGTTCATTGTTCTCCCGACAGTTAATGGACGGTAACTCCTTGATTAGCTAACATATATACTTGTTAAAATGTTTCTGGTAGACTGAGGACCCTAGGGTCATGAGTGACAATTAGTTGTCAAGCCTATAGTAAAAATTATATTAATATCAAGTCTTGAGTGTCTTGAAAATGTGAGTTCGAGATTTAAATGGTCTAGATGTTTTAAGAACCAAGTAAACATCCAAGGAAATTTAAGAAATCTTACTAGACTACTAGAGTCGGATCCCGTTCTATTTCCTTCATTTCCTCTGTAGCACTACTTAGTGACCTATGTCAGACCTACTTGTGGCCCTACCATGCAATAGGTACCCAAGAACTCGTACCTTCGAGCTTAACCAAGGTCAAATAGGATGACGTCTCGTGACTATTTGAGGAGTTACTATCATGTGTAAAAATGGATCTAGAGTTAAGACCCGATTTCATAAACCTGACCTAAGAAGGGACCAGGGACTAAATAGGTAATTTAGCTCATGAAGAGTGCAACTATCGTCTGTGAAAATAGTCAAAGGCTCCCTAAATATGGTCACTGCATTGTCTACCCATCTTGAGAGGGGACAAAGGATCACATAGGTAAACTTAGTAGCTAGTCGACATGTGGAGTTGCTCCCCCAGACTTTGACTCTATGATAGTTCCTATGGGAGTGTCGCTAGTTAAATTTACATGGAGATGTTCAGAAAGAGACATCATACTATCCAATAATATATAACGAGGTCGCGCCTTAACCCAGGATACCAATGTGATAAGATAAGAAACCACTACAAGGGGAGTAAGATTCGGATTACCTTGTTGATTGAATATCTCAAGGCTAGAACATTGTTTGAGATTCGAATCACTCCACAAGCAAGATCGATCATGTCTAGCTTGAATGATTCTTGTTGATCAAATATCTCAAACACTTGTTTGAGATTCGAATCACTCCACAAGCAAGATTGATCGTGTCGAGCTTGAATGATTCTACATGCAACCTAAACTACATAGAATTGCAAATAAACTTAGCTATTGGCTAAAGAAAGCATATCCTTTTACAATATATTTTTCAAGTCTACTTACAAATACAACATACATGGCTTTATATAGCCTCAAAAAGTGAAACTATTAAATGCATTACAAGAGTTGTAACCTTCATACTTTATGCCCATAATTAGCCATTATGTAAATGTAACCTGAAGTAAATAAAATGTCTTAAAATATAATAATTCTAAATTATAACCCACCCAAAATTTATAATAATCAAACTTCTTTCTTCTTAAATGTGGCATGAATTGAACACCTTTTGATAATTTTGACAATCTTTTCTTCACATCTTCATTGAAGTATATTGTATGATTGATGTCTTTTGATTCATATCACAACGTTTACTGCCAAGGAAAATTAAGTATACTAAGTATGATAATATAAAAGAGAATTCCCCCAAGGTTAAGTTACATCATCCAATTGACTCATGGTGCCAAAACTTGGTGAACGTCTAAACCTTGAGTATGTTTGTGACAAGTGAAAGAACCACTCGAAACTTCATGTGTTTGCTAAGAGCATGTGTTTAAACTACTTTAGGACTAATTTTATGCATGGGATGTGCGTTATGTGAAAAGTAATTTTGTGGTAAAAATTACATGTGGAGCTTTAACATTGAAGTTGGTGAGGGGCGAGATGGAGAAGATTTTTCTGACAAAATTTTAGAAACTTCGATTTTAAAATCAATGTGTTTTTGAAGCTCTCAAGATCGGTGGGTGCTTGGACAATAGATATATGGAACTTAGGGTAACATTTTGGAGCAAGAAATTGGGAAGTAGAAGTACCCAAGCGTGAGTTTAGAGCGTTTCTATGCTAGGTTTACTAAAATTTAGGGACTTCACTCTACCAAATGAGTCCAAACCAATTCCTACACCTTCGTAAAAAAGTTTCCATCTTGTAATTCAAGTTTTTTTAAGTTCATATTCGGGAAAAGGGAAAAAATTTAATTTGAGACTAGTACACAAATTCGTCTCGTGGAACCTATCCCATCTGGTTTCTGAGAGTCCAAGGAGAATTTTTATAGAAGAACTCGAAGCCAAAGAAGCTCTAGATAAGGATAGAACAGGAATTTTGGAGAAACTCGAGAATTCTTACTCAAAATCTCCTTAGCTCATTCGCCCACGTTCCTTCCTCTTTTCCAAATTGGCCAAAGTAGTGATGTCAAAGGAAGTCTCCTTCTTCAAACCCGACTGATTTATGGCCTTAAAACGCAATAGGGAGGGACAACATAAGCTTCAAAATTATGAATCGTTTTCAACACTTCGAAGCTCGAGGAAGAAGGCGAACTGAGTCTGTCACCAACCAATCAGCAGCCAAAATGTGCTAGATGTTCCCCCTCATCAAATCCTCGATGGTGAGAAGTCATGATGAGGCATCCAAGTGGGCAATTCACTAGTTTGCCTCTATTAGGTCATTGTAATGGACCAGAGTCCACTGCTACCACATATTATTCTCTTTGAGTTTTCACTTTCGAGTTTCTCCTCAAGGTTTTTAAATGCGTCTGCTAGGTAGAGGTTTCCACACCGTTGTAAAGAATGTTTTGTTCTCCTCCCCAACTGATATGAGATCTCACAATCCAATCCCTTTGGAGCCCAACATCCTCACTGGCACTTGTTCCATTCTCCAATGGATGTGAGACCTCCCAATCCACCCCCTTCGGGACCCAACATCCTTGTTGGCACACTGCCTCGTGTCCACCCCCTTTCAGGGCTCAGCCTCCTTGCTGACACATCGCCCTGTGTCTGGCTTTGATACCATTTGTAATGGTCTCAAGCCCACTGCTAAAAGGTATTGTCTCTTTGGACTTTCTCTTTCAGGCTTCGCTCAAAGGTTTTAAAACAGGTTGTGCTAGAGAAAGATTTCCATACCCTTATAAAAAATGCTTCGTTCTCCTCCCCAACCGATGAGGATCACACAATTATTTTTCCAATTGCTTAGAAATACGAGGCTAATTCTATAATTTTTCTACTTTCAAGGCTAGTTTTGCACTTCTAGATCTTGTTTTTCTTTCCAAAATTCAATCTTCAAGATCATTTTTCCAAATTCTTTTTTGCTATATTCTTTTAGTATCTTATTACTTTTCTTATTATCTTCAGCTTTTCCTTCTTCCACCACTTCAAATTGTCTAACCATATGAAAAATAAAATTGCTTCATTTAATCAATTAAAAAAATCATTCCTATCTAAATGTTACAATTAGCCTACTCTTTAGCTTGGATTTGAGTTAAAATAGTTTCATTACGGATATGCACGTGCATGTATCGACCCCAACTAGCCTACTTCTTTGTTGACATTTCTTCGACTACTAGACATGCATGCATGTAGATGATCTTCATATTGATGGTAGATTGATCTGATGTTATGCATACTGTTGAGGATTATTGAGAGTGAGTTCACATTGGTTAATTTAGTGGAAGATCATGGGTTTATAAGAGAGAAATACTATCTTCATTGGTATGAGGTCTTTTGGAGAAGCTCAAAGCAAACCCATGAGAGCTTATGCTCAAAGTGGACAATATTATACAATTATTGAGAGTCGTGATTCCTAACCTGGTATTAGATCCATGCCCTAAACTTAGCCATGTCAATAGAATACTCAAATATCGAACAAAGAATTGTGAGCCTCTAAAATGTTAAACAAATGGTGTACTTTGTTCGAGGGCTCCAAAGAAAGGAGTCGAGCATGTATTATATATGAGATTTTTAAAAATAATTAAAAAGAAAACGACCTAAGAATCCAATCTAAATTAACGGGTTGTTCACGTCACCGATCCAACTAATCTGAAATTTTGGATTAATCTAACAGATTTTTCTAATTAGACGAGTGTAGTCCAAATTTTATGTTTTTTCATTGGAAGATAACTATATTATTATTATTAATTTTTTTTTTTTTTTTTGCTTTATTTAATAATTTCTTCGTGTATAAGGCGCGTTCCCTTGGTTTTTGGGATGATGTTGTATGAAGTCAAATTCATTACCAAGGATAAAGACGATATGTCGATCTTTGTAGGTTCCATACCCTTTACGTCATGTCGACATTGCATGGATAGGGGTTCAGTTTTAGTGGTCCCAAGGCTTATCAGAAATCTACGTGGACCTCCAAATTAATCCCAACCGTCCATTACTTAATCCTTTCTTGATTTAAATGCCACCTAACCTAACAGCTTTTATTCACTCCCATTTATTTCAAAAATAATTTCCAAATATCAATAATACTATTAGAATAACAGCTAGTATGTATATATATAAATATAGATATAGATATTTATTTTAATTTTTAATTAAATTTTTTTATTATTTATTTTTTAATTCCTTGAAATTAATTTTTAATTATTTAAAAAATATTAAAATTAAGTGACAAATTTTAATTAAATATAATGAAATTAAATAAATCACTTAAATAACTTAACTCGGTGTGTATCCACCTCCCAATTCCCCTATAAATACTTGGGCCATTCCTGGCTCAAACCATAGCAAGACATCAAATTTAGAAATACAATAAGAAACCACCATGTCGGAGGAGAACCACCAGCGCCGCCGCCACCACCACCACAAGGAGGAGGAAGAAAATATCCCCTCCGAAACCACCCCATATTCCAAATCTGAATTCTCCAAAAATTCCACTTACTCTTCTAACCTCTCCGAAAATAAAACCGCCACTTATGGCGGTGGCTACGGTGAATCAAAAAATAAGGCCGACGAATATGACAGTGAAAGTTACGGTGAAGATAAGGCTGGCGAATATGGAGGTGACTTTGGTAAGTTCGGAAATAAGGTGGCCGCAGAGTATGGTGGTGGCTATGGTGAGTCAGAAAATAAGGCCACAGAGTACGGGGGTGGCTACGGCGAGTCGGAAGAGAAGGTAGGCGAATACGGTGGAGGCTTCGGTAAGTCTGGAAATAAAGTCGCCGCCGCGTACGGCGGCTATAGTGAGTCGGGAAATAAGGCTACTGAATACGAGGGTGGGTACGGTGAGTCGGAAGATAAGGGAGATGAATACGGTGGTGGCTATGGTAAGTCTGGAAAAAAGGCCGCCGCCGAGTACGTGGGTGGCTATGGTGAGTCGGAAAATAAGGACACTGAGTACGGTGGTGGATACGGTGAGTTAGAAGGTAAGTCTGGACATAAATCCGCGGAGTACGGTGGTGGGTACGGCGGGTTGGAAGATGAGGGCGGTGAGTACGGTGGTGGGGATAGGACAGATTACAAAAAGGAAGCGGAACAGCACCTCGGCGAGATCGGTGTTGCAGCGGCCGGTGCCTTCGCTTTGGTATATAATATATTTAATATATAAATTTCATGCATAAATCTTCACTTATTTTCTTCTTTATTTTATTTATTTTTATTTAAAGTTCAAATTTTCAAATAGTTTAAATTAATTTTCAAAATATATATTTTTAATTAACAAGCCTTTTGCTAAAATTGTATGAAAATAATAATTTAGTTTAAATTCAAAATCTTTTGCCTCTAATTTCAACTTTGAGATTCTTGGTTGGTGGGAGAGAGAACTGATACAGTTTTTACTAGGGTGTGAAAAACCTCTCGTTAGTAGACACGTTTTAAAATCGTGAGATTGATGACGATACGTAATGGGCTAAAGTGGATAATATCGACTAACGGTGGGTTTGAGTTATTACAAATGGAATTAGATCCAGACACCAAGAAGTGTCTCAGAGAGAACGCTGGCTCCTAAAATGGTGGATTGTGAGATTCCACATCGGTTTGAGAGTGGAACGAAACATTCCTTATAAGGGTGTGAAAATCTCTCCTTAGTAGACACGTTTTAAAATCGTGAGATTGATGACGATACATAATGGGCTAAAGTGGACAATATCTACTAATGGTGGGCTTGAGTTATTACAAATAGAATTAGATCCAGACACCGGACAGTGTGCTAGAGAGAGCGTTGGCTCCCAAAAAGGGTGGATTGTGAGATTCTACATTGGTTGGAGAATGGAACAAAATATTCCTTATAAATGTGTGAAAATCTCTCCTTAATAGACACATTTTAAAATCGTGAGGCTAATGACGATATGTAACGGGCTAAAGTGGACAATATCTGCTAACAGTGGGCTTGAGTTATTACAAATGGTATTAGAGCCAGACACGGGGCGGTGTGCCAGAGAGAACGCTGGCCCCAAAAAGGGTGGATTGTGAGATTCCACATCGGTTGGAGAGTAGAACAAAACATTTCTAATAAGGGTGTGAAAATCTCTCCTTAGTAGACGTGTTTTAAAATCGTGAGGTTGATGACGATACGTAACGGGCTAAAGTGGACAATATCTGCTAACAGTGGGCTTGAGCTATTACAAATGCTATTAGAGCCAGACAAGACGGTGTGCGAAAGAGAACACTGGCCCCTAAAAGGATGAATTGTGAGATTCCACATCAGTTGAAGAGTGGAATGAAACATTCCTTACAAGGGTGTGAAAACCTCTCCTTAGCAGATGCGTTTTAAAACCGTGAGACTGATACGTAAAGGCCAAAGCGGACAATATCGGCTAATTTAGTCCAAATATTTTTAAATTTATAACAATCTTATTTTATTTTTTTTGGTCAATTATTATTATTATATGGGTAGACATGATTAAATTAAATTATTTTAAACTTTTATTTTCATGGCCACTAAATGTATGAACAGCATGAGTCAAAGGAAGATTCAGAGAATGGACACGGGCACAAGGTAGAGGAGGAGGTAGCGGCAGCGGCGGTGGGGGCCGGTGGGTATGCATTTCACGAGCGCCACAAGAAGGAAGAGGCAAGAAACCAATATGAATAGACCCATGGAAGAAAGATCAAATAATGTCCATTTAAAAGGTTTCTATCAAATATATGGGTTTTTAAAGCTTATAAAATAAAAAAATGTTGTGTATTTATCATAGAAATGTTATGGCCAATGTTTTATATGTATGTTGTATAATGTGTGGTCTTAATATTTTTTAGTGGGTGGAGTTGTAATGGACAAGGTGTGCAATAATACTTAATTTAAAACTCGAAATAGCTTGTGTTCATGGAACTATTCGGTTGATTGTTACTGTGCAGGTTCTTGTCAATAAAACTCATAAAAGAATAATAGAGGAGAGTATAAAATAAATAATTGAGGTAGAATGATTAAAATTTTACTCCGTGTTCGATTAAGAGTATTGGAACTTATATAATAATTAATAAGTTCTGTTAAGGATAGTTGACCGTTCATTATAAGGCAAATATCTAGATAGTTGCCTTACATTATGGGTTACCATATTTGTCTTATTATTAAAGGCAAATATATTGTATTGATTTATTATTCTTTCCTTTTATCGCTATTTCCATATTATTTGTAATTTACCATATTTTTGTATTGTGTAAATGATTATAAATAAGAGAACTCTCACCACCATTTAGGTGGGGTGGATTCAACAAACATTCACATGGTATCAGAGCTCTTTCGGTATAACAACCCTGATCCTTTCTTCTCTATGGCTTCCGAATCTTCTTATCATCTTCTTCCTTTCAATATTCTAATCCATATGATCACCATCAAACTTTCTTCCTCCAATTATCTTCTCTGGAAAAGCCAACTTCTCCCTCTCCTTGAGAGTCAAGACATGCTGGGCTATGTCGATGGAACTATGGTTCCACCACCTCGTTTTGAACCAGAAACCTCCTCAACACTCAACCCCAAATATTTGGCATGGAGAGCAGCCGATCAACGATTTCTCTGTCTCTTGCTCTCCTCTCTCACTGAGGAAGCCATGGCTGTTGTTGTTGATCTCTCTACTGCACGTGATGTTTGGCTTGAGTTGGAAACTACGTTCAGCCATCAGTCGAAAGCTCGTGAACTGAGACTCAAGGATGACTTGCAGTTGATGAAACGTGGCACCAAACCTGTTGCTGAGTATGCCCGTGCCTTCAAAAAAATTTGTGACCAACTTCATGTCATTGGCAGACCCGTCGAGGACATTGATAAAGTGCACTGGTTCCTTCATGGACTCGGCACCGAATTTTTAGCTTTTTCTACTGCTCAGATGGCTCTCACCCCTATCCCCTGTTTTGCAGATTTAGTCTCTAAAGCTGAAAGTTTTGAGTTGTTCCAGCACTCCCTTGAGTCCCCTGACTCCACTCCTACAACATTCACACCCACTAATCGTGGTCGCACCCATGGAAGCCACCCTGCTTCCTTCACCAACCAGCAAGGTCGTTCTTATTCTCACAAAAACAACTCTTCTAATCGAGGACGAACCCACTCAAGTTAGGGTCGTCGACCACCTCACTGTCAAATATGCTGCAAAGAGGGCCATTATGCTGACCGCTGCAACCAACGATATGTTCGACCTGATTCTTCTCATGCTCACCTTGCTAAAGCCTTTAACACGTCATGTTCTATTGCTGGACCCGATGCTGCTGATTGGTTTCTGGACACTGGAGCTTCGGCCCATATGACTGCCGACCCATCTATTCTGGATCAGTCTAAAAATTACACGGGTAAGGACTCTGTGATTGTAGGAGACGGTGCATCCCTACCCATTACCCACATCGGTATTCTTTCTCCTGTTCCAAATATTCACTTATTAGATGTCTTGGTTGTCCCTCACCTCACTAAAAATCTTCTTTCCATAAGTAAATTAACGTCTGATTTTCCTCTCTCCGTTACATTTACTAATAATCTTATTACTATCTAGAATCGTCAAACAGGAAGGGTGGTGGAAACCGGTAAAAGAGATGGAGGGCTATATGTGCTGGAGCGCAGCAACTCTGCTTTTATTTCAGCCCTTAGAAACAAATCTTTACGTGCTTCATATGATTTATGGCATGCTCGTCTGGATCATGTGAATTATTCTGTTATTTCTTTTTTAAATAGAAAAGGTCATCTTTCTCTTACGTCTTTATTGCCTTCTCCATCATTATGTAATACTTGTCAGCTTGCGAAAAGTCATCGATTGCCTTATTCCCGCAATGAACGTAGGTCGTCTCATGTGTTAGATCTTATTCATTGTGATCTTTGGGGTTCTTCTCCCGTCAAATCAAATTCGGGTTTTCTTTATTATGCTATTTTTATTGATGATTATTCTCGATTCACTTGGTTTTACCCTTTAAAATTTAAATTTCATTTTTTTGATATTTTTCTTCAATTTCAAAAATTTGTGGAAAATCAATATTCTTCTCGTATCAAGGTATTTCAAAGCAATGGTGGTACCGAATTTACTAGTACTTGTTTCAAAACTCATTTACATAATTCTGGCATCCACCATCAACTCTCTTGTCCATATACACTTGCTCAAAATGGTCGTGCTGAGAGAAAACATCGTCATGTGACTGAGACTGGCTTGACCCTTCTCTTTCACTCTCATCTTTCTCCTCGTTTTTGGGTTGACACCTTCAGCACTGCAGCTTATATTATCAACCGGTTGCCTACTCCACTTCTTGGAGGTAAGTCACCCTTTGAACTCCTTTATGGCTACACTCCACATTATGACAATTTTCATCCCTTTGGTTGTCGTGTTTATCCTTATTTGCGTGATTATATGCGTAACAAGCTTTCTCCCCGTAGCATTCCTTGTATTTTTTTGGGTTATAGTCCTGCTCATAAAGGGTTCCGCTGTCTTGATCCTGCCACCACTAAGCTATATATCACCTGCCATGATCAATTTGATGAAACTCACTTTCCTGCTATCCCTAGCTCCCAGGCCCAACCTCTTTCCTCTATTCCTATTTCAAATTTCTTGGAACCACATCTTCATCATATTGATTCATCCCCCCCTACCAATTCATCACTGCACATTCCTCGATCCAGTTCATCCCCATGTGATATTTGTTCTGACCTTGTAGATGAGTCTGTGCAGGTTGATACTTCTCTTGCAAGTTCCACTTTACCACCCTCGACTTCTAATTCAACCTCTATTGAACCTCCTGTTGATTTCTCTTCTTTGGGCACTCATCCTATGATCACACGAGCCAAAGCTGGTATATTCAAGACTCGTCATCCAACAAATCTTGGTATTTTGGGCTCATCTGGACTTCTTTCTGCTCTTCTTGCATCCACTGAGCCAAAAGGATTCAAATCTGGGCTAAGAATCCTGCTTGGGTAGCTGCCATGGATGAAGAAATTCGAGCGTTACAACAAAATAATACTTGGACTTTGGTTCCTCGCCCTGCCAACACCAACATCGTGGGCTCTAAATGGGTGTTTCATATTAAATATTTGCCTGATGGATCCGTTGAGCATTTCAAGGCTCGTCTTGTTGCCAAAGGTTATACTCAAGTTCCTGGTCTTGACTACACTGACACTTTCAGTCCAGTTGTTAAAGCTACCACTGTCCGTGTTGTGCTTTCTATTGCAGTCACAAATAAATGGCCTCTTCGACAACTTGATGTCAAGAATGCTTTTCTCAATGGAACTCTTATTGAATGTGTTCATATGGAACAACCTCCTGGGTATATTGATCATCGATTTCCCACTCATGTTTGTCTATTAAAGAAAGCCCTCTATGGCTTAAAGTAAGCTCCTCGTGTTTGGTTTCAGCGTTTTAGCTCATTTCTTCTCACACTTGGATTTTCTTGCAATCGCGCTGACACGTCCCTTTTTGTCTTTCATCAACAATCTAACCTTATCTATTTGCTTCTTTATGTTGATGACATTATTGTTACCGGCAACAACTCATCTCTTTTTGACAGCTTTACTCACAAGCTTCATTCTGAGTTTGCTACCAAAGATTTGGGTTCTCTCAGTTACTTTCTTGGTCTTGAAGCTTCACCCACTCCTGATGGTCTCTTTATTAGTCAGTTAAAATATGCTCGAGATATTCTTACTCGTGCTCAGTTGCTCGATAGCAAACCAGTTCACACTCCCATGGTTGTTTCTCAACACCTGACTGCTGATGGTTCTCCTTTCTCTGATCCTACTCTCTACAGATCTCTTTTTGGCGCCGTTCAGTACTTGACTATTACGCGTCCAGATATTGCTTATGCTGTCAATTCTGTCAGTCAATTCCTGCATGCCCCTACTGCAAATCACTTTCTTGCTGTCAAAACGTATTCTTCGCTATGTCAAAGGAACACTCCACTTTGGTCTTACCTTTCGTCCATCCACTGTTCCTAGTACGCTAGTCACTTATTCGGATGCTGACTGGGCTGGTTGTCCCAATACTCGTCGTTCTACATCTGGCTATTTTATTTATCTTGGTAACAATCTCGTTTCTTGGAGTGCCAAAAAGCAACCTACTATCTCACGCTCCAGCTGTGAATCTGAGTATCGTGCTCTTGCCACAACTGCTGCTGAACTTCTTTGGGTTACGCATCTTTTGCATGACCTCAAGGTTCCTATTTCACAGCAGCCCTTACTCTTATGTGACAACAAAAATGCTATTTTTTTGAGCTCTAATCCTGTTTCTCACAAGCGGGCCAAACATGTTGAACTAGATTATCATTTCCTTCAAGAACTTGTTATCGCTAGCAGACTTCGCACACAATATGTACCCTCTCATCTTCAAGTTGTTGACATCTTCATAAAGAGTATTTCTCGACCTCTCTTTGAATTTTTCAGATCCAAGCTTCACGTTCGTTCAAATCCGACGCTCAGCTTGCAGGGGGTGTTAAGGATAGTTGACCGTTCATTATAAGTAAAAATATCTAGATATTTGCCTTACATTACGGGTTACCATATTTGCCCTATTATTAAAGGCAAATATATTGTATTCATTTATTATTCTTTTCTTTTATCGCTATTTCCATATTATTTGTAATTTACCATATTTCTGTATTCTGTAAATGATTATAAATAAGAGAACTCTTACCACCATTTAGGTGTGGTGGATTCAGCAAACATTCACAAGTTCGAAAACATTTTCATCAAATTTCGAAAGCAAAAGGAGAGAACAAAATATGATGATTCCGATTTCATGGTATAACCAAACAATCTTGCCACCAGCCTTGTACGTTCTTGTTCGTATATGAAAAAATGGGTTTGAAAATATTGAGTATTAAAATCCACGGAAAGTAATCACATATTGAGGATTAGAT